GCCTTCCCATGCCCCCTGAATGAGCTGCAGCTCCATCCTGCCCCCCTCCCCCACCCCAGCTGGGCAGTGCCTGCTTCTGCCCCAGTCCCACACCTTCCTCACTACAGGGACCTTGATCTGTCCTGCCACACTCCTCCCCTTCCACCACAACACATTTACCAGCTGCACAAGCTCTCCACACTGCTGCCTGTGCTCCTCACTGCCTACATGCTGTGCTGCAGCTGCACACATGCATGGGCCATCTAAATTGGGCAAATTAATTGGCCACTTCACGCTGATTTCTGATATAGTCAATTTTCTTTAGATTGGTGCTGATCTGATACTAGACCAATGCATTGGTGCATCTCTACACCCAAGTTCAGTACACAAACTGCTTTCAAAATGGCCAAAAATGGTTTAAGATAAACTAGGATGGATGAAGTATGAGAATTAACTGATTTAGGTTAAATCAGTTTACTGAACTTGTCCCAGATCCTCTCCAGGTAAAAGTTAACTCATAGTCCCCATCAAGCTTTGCACCTGCCCCACAAATCCCCATACCTCACCCCCCCTCACAGGGTGGGCAAGCTTGAGCCAAGGCTAGCTGTCTGCCTGCTCTAGCACCCCCAGCTTTTGGGTTGGGCCACTGCAGGCATGTGGCTGCACTTCCAGAATCAAAAGGTGAATTTCTATCACTCGCTTATCAATCTATGCAGCTCAGACTAACCTGTGAAGATTGAATCAATACAGCCTCAGGCTTTTTGACTGTGTGCTTAGCCTTAACATCTAGGAAGTTCTCATTCAGAGGCTGTAACCCTAACTCATGCTCAATAGCTATTGATGCCCCTTTCCTCCATTAATTTATTCAATCCCTTTTTAATCTGGCTGCACTATCATCTTCCACAACATCTGGTGGCAAAGGGTTCCACAGTTGAATTACATGTGGGGTGAAAAAGAGCATCCTTTTGCTAGTTTTAAACTCACTATCTACTAGCTTCACTTTGTGACCTCCTAGTTCTTGTACTGTGCGAGATAGTACATAGGGATTTATGATTTACTTTCTCTTCACCATCTTGAATTTTGTAAGCCCTTATCACGTTCCCCCTCAAGCGTCTCTTTTCTAAACTGACCAGGCCAAGCTTCTTTAGTGTCTGCTTACAAGGAAGCACCACTGTACCACGAGTCATCTTTGTTGCCCTTGTCTAGTTTCTCTATAGTCTTTTTGAGGCGAAAGGACCAGAACTGGACATCGTATTCCAGGTGTGGATGTACCATGGATTTAAAGGGATATAATGACATTTTTCAGTTTGTTTACAATTCCCTCAATAATACCTAACATTTTGTTTGCCTTTTTGACAGCTGCTGAGCACTGAGCTGATAGCTTTAGCAAACCGTCCTCAATGACTCCCAGATCTCTTTCCCATGTGGTAACAGCTAACATAGAGCCCACCATGCTGTAGGTATCAGGTGCATTATCTACATTGAACTGCAGCTGCCATTTAGTTGCCCATTCACTCAACTGTGCCAGATTCATCTGTAGTTCCTCCCAGTCCACCTTGGTCTTTACCACTTTGAATAATTTTGTGTCATTTGCAATTTTGGCCACCTTGTACTCACCCCGTTTTCCAGATAATTTATGACTGTGTTAAACAGCACTGGTCCCAACACAGGTCTTTGGGGGACCCTCCATCCTGAAACCTAACCATTTATACACACCCTTTTCATTCCATCTTGGAACCAAATTCTGGTCTACAAGTAGATGTTCCCTATAATCCCATGACTACCTAAATTAGTTAAGAGCCTTTGATGGGGACCTTATTAAGAGTTTGGGGTTTTTTTGGAAGTCCAAATACACTGCATTACCTGGATCACGCTGATCCACCTGCTTATTGACACCCTCAAAGAACTCTAGCAGGTTGGCGAGGCATGATTTCCCTTTGACAAAGCCATACTGATTCCTCCCCAGCAAGTCATGGCCATCCATGTGCTGAACAATTCTTTTGTTGTTGTTATTGTTTCTACCAGACCTCCAGGAACAGAAGTTGGGCTCACTGGCTTATAGTTCCCTGTGTCCCCTCTAGAGCCTTTTTTAAATAAGGGAGTCACACTGACAACCCTCCAGTCTTCTGGTACCTAGACTGTTTTTAGAGAAAAGCTGCATGCTGCAGTTAGGAGTTCAGCAATTTCTGATCTGAGCCCCTTCATGACCCTAGGGCAAATGCCAGCAGGTCCTGGTGATTTGCTACTGTTTAAGTTATCAAGTTCCTCTATGACCCCATCTACTGAATAAATGGAGGTAAGTCATGACATTTTCCCCCCTCTTATTTTCATGATTTTATCCTCCCACACTTTGCTCTCATTCAGTTTTTGTTTTAACCATGCAGTAAAATACACTAATCAATCATCTACATTGCTTTTGGCAACTTTCATTTCAACAATGTCCCTATTCTACTGACTGTGGAACTGAAGGACAGTGCCCAACGCTCCACTTTCTCCACACTTCTCTGCAGACTCATTTACACAGCACAGAACAGGACCTCTGGGTGGGTTGTTTTTTTTGGTTTGTTTTTTTTACATCATTTAGCCCTGTGAAAAAAGTGTACTTCCTAACATGCGAGGCAGCTGGGGGATGAGGAGGGCCAGGCGAGCCAGAAAACAACTGGCTTGTATATCCAAAGAAATCTGTCACAGTATAACAACATGTCTCAATTTTAACAAAGATAATTTAATTAGTGTAAAACACAGCACAGGCCCTCTTATTTCAGTTTAAGAGTGGCTTATTGCATTTAGGCTTGAGTGCATTAAGAACAGATTTAACTAGACCAAAGCAAGCCAGACCTTACACTGAAATACTGTGTTCCAGCATTTGACACACACCCTGCTCCAAAAAGGAGCTTTTAAAGTAAGGTGAATCTCATACAGAGCTGCGGAAGGAAAAAGGTCAGTGTCTGATTTCAGTGATATGATAACTTAAAAATGAGCCAGGAGACAATAACAAGGTTGAGGTCCAGCTGGGGAAAACCTAAGAGCCATGTGGAATGGTCTCAGCACATGCCAGAGCCCCCAACACCAACACACTGCCAACAAGGAAAATTGTAAGGAGAAGGGGGCTGGAGCATCCCACTGCCATCCTTAACTGTACACAACACATCCTTGCTGCACTGCAGCCCCTGCTCCTTCCTTCTGTCTGGCTCAGGGTAGGCCCCCTCTGAGGGAGCAAACCCCTTGCTCTTCACCTACCTCTTCCCGCTTTCTCCATTTTCTTTCACTGGCTGGGAAAGCTGGGCAAAACTGGGAAGCATGCATCCTCTTCTCCCCCAGTACTTTCATAGCATCAAGAAACGTGCCTCAAAATTTTATGACAGTCTCAAGGAAGAGAGGCATTTTAGATTAGGATTCTTAAAACAATGTATACAGTGTCGCCAACTCTCATGGTTTTTGGTGTTTGTCTTAACTTTCATATTATAAAGTCTAGGCTTCGGGAATGTGAAACACATAGCTCTTCCTTTTATATATAAATAAAAGAAAGAGCTATATTTTTCACATTCATTTATAGATAAAAAAGGAAGAGCTATGTTTTTCACATTCCTGAAGCCTAGACTTTAAAACAAACACCAAACAATAGGACAGTTGGCAACACTGAGTATATGGCAAGCTTCTAGAGGGTACCCAAGAGGAAGGAACAGGAAAGCAGCCAGAAGAAAAAAGGGTGAAGTGGAAGGAAAGGAAAAAACAAACAACCCCCCCCCACAAAAACAACCCCCCCCCACACACACACAAATGAAGACCTCCTCTAGGCTGCTGGAGCGGTTACAGGGACATAAAAATATTATTATTTTTTTTTTTTTTTTTATCATCTATGACACTGAACCTTAGGGATATACTATAGCATAACATACTTGAAAAGGGATGCGACTTAAAGATGGCTGAAACCCACTACTCCAGAATGAATGCAGCAATCCTACCAGTTGTCAATACACGAGAGAGAGGAAATTATATGACATGACATGAATGGCAGCCTAGGATAAAAGGACAACGGCTCTATAGTATGTTTGTAAAGAATAACACAGCCCAGATCACTAACTTAGTGGCAAGAAAAACTACTGTTTGACCAAGTGATCTTGCGGGGGTTGAGTGGCAAAGTAAGGCTCATGTGTCAATTATCTGTGCCCCTGCACAAAAAAAAAAAAAAAGAGTGAAGCAGAAAAGGAAACAAGCCCATGAGCAAATGAAACCCAGAGTGAGCAAAACTCACCCTGGTGGGAAGGGCCAGGCCAAGGGGAGAAGAGCTGGTAGCAGCCACTCTAGGGAGTCTTCACACTGCCCAGGAAAATACAAGCAGATACTGGGAGGAGGCAACACAGGATTCAGATGAACCTGTGGCCCTGACAAACACCCTGGCCCTGCTTTATGGGGCTTTTGACTTTCCCCAACACCCCCATGTGTACAAGTTTTACACAGACATAGCAAATTCCACCCACAGCTGCCAGAGAAAACCCCACTGGAAGAGAGAGAGAAATTCCATGTTTGTCCAGAAGACTTTTCCAGTGCCTCTTGCTCCAAGACAAAGCATGGAAGCAGAACTAATCAACACGGAAAGTTCTGTTCCAGCGTATTAGAGGAGTAAGCCGAAGGCCACATCCAGCCTGCAGCTTCCTAGAAACAGCTGAATCCCTCCATGAGCGCTGTTAATGGTGATGGTGTGCAGCTGTAGCAGGTTTCTGTCACTGAAGCACTAAAGAGCTAAACAGAGCTGTTATGTCTACATTTCACAAGAGATGCAAGCAGGCAGATGAGAGAGGTGGGGGAGAGAAAAGGGTGTCCATCTCATCTGAAAGCACTAATGCTAAAAACAAACAAAAAAGAGTCACTTTTTAGTGTCCAACATGCCACTTCCTTGTTACTAGAGAAGGTAGGTTATAAATCTCCCCTACCAACAGTATACCCCCTTGATTCTTATTAGTGACCAGTCTCGTTGCCTCTCTTAAAATGAAGAAGTTAACACTGCAGCTGCTTGCATAAAAATAAACAAACCAAATAAAATCCAGTGGGTTTGTTTCCTACAGGATGCAATGCAATATCCCTAGGGACTGGGACTCCCCCAAAGGCATTCATGGGTTCTCACACCCATTCCCTGGATCTTGTGTGTGCTGGGATGATGGAATCAAAGAGCTTGGTCAAATTCTTGGAGGAAAAGGGCATCAGTAATTACTAAGCATGGGAGCTAGCAATACTGCCTCTGAACCAGAACATCCTAGTTCTTAAAATGCTGCTAGTGTGAGACGAACAGTGAGGAAATAAAGACCCTTGGCAGACCCAGTTCATTCCTGCTTTCAGCACCCGTGCTAGGGTGACTATCAGAGGACTGTCCGGCTGCCCTCTATTGATATGAAACCCAGTGCCTTTATGCCCTCTATTTTTCCACTCTCCAAGAGAAAAATAGAGAACATAAAGGCACTGGATTTCGTATCAATAGAGGACCGAGTAGCAGAGAACTGTAATGTCCTCTATGATAGCCACCCTACCCCATGCTCTGCCCATGATACAGGCCTGCTTGACAGTCAGGAACACAGGCCTGCAGGGGCTACTGGGTACACAGCAACTCAATTGGTAGGTAGGGCCACCAACTCTGTGCGAATCTGTTCTGGGAGGTTTCATCACCCGGTGTAATGACATTGATGACTTGACATCAGGAAGGCAAATACACATTACTATTACATTTTAAAAGCCCCGCTGGCCAACTGTATAAATCAAATTCAGCATTTAATATTTATTTTAATGAGCGCCCTACCCCGCGTCTCCCAGGCGACCCCCAGCAGCCGCCTGGAGATTTATCTCCAATTCCTGGAGACTCCAGGGCAATCCTGGAGGGATGGCAACCCTACTCGCGGGACCCGTAAGAGCGAAAACAGGGGCAGAGGCTTATGGCGAGTGCCCCCAGAGGGAGGGGCAGTGCCCACGGCGCGGTGCCCTGCCGGCAGACGTGCAGGGAGCGGAGAGCAGCCAGGCCAGCAGAGCAGCGCGCCCAGGACGTGCCGGCACTCGCCGGGGCCCGGGCCCGGGCCCGATGCAGGGCAACCCCGCTCCTCTCGGAGCTGCAGGCAGGCGCAGCAACCCGCTGCCGGCTGTCCCTTGCCCCCCGCTCTTACCTCCTGGTAGGATGCAGAGCCCTCCCGGCGCAGCATGGAAGCCTGGGTCCGCCTCGCCTCGCTTCGCTTCGCTTCGCCGCACCGCGCCGCCCGGGGCAGCCTGGGAAACGTAGTCTGGCCCCGCTCGCTTTAACCCCGCGGCGCTGGGGTGAGCAGCCGCCCGGTGCCAGCCCCCTCCCTCGCGGCCTAGGGGTGCCCGCTGCCCAGCTCCCCCTGCGGGGGTTAAGCCCCTTCCCACGGAGTTCCCTGTGCTCTCGTCTCCATCCTGAAGGCCACAAGGCCCAGGTGGCCCCAGGCCCCTTGGCCTCCTAGGGAGCCTGCTCCTTGCTCTTTGCCCGGGGAAAGGAAACACCTGCTGTGTTGGGGGCCGTGATGCACCTCACCCCCTGCCATGCTCTGCCCCCTCTCAACGTGCTGGAGGTGCCCATGTCCCTAGTGGGGAGTGCGAGGTTGCAGAAAGCATCCCATTTAGGAGGAAAAGCCACCACCGGCTTCCCAGCATCCCTTTCCTTCTGCTTCCGTGAGGTTGCCTTTTCACGGCTGTGAGGGCCAGAAGCCCCCCTTTCATTGAGGAAAGCTAAGCTTAATCACTGCAGCAGCCTCCAAATACTGCCCACTATTGCAAGCATTGGCAACAGGCACATGTTCCCTGGTGGATTCTGCTTTGGGCTGTAGTTGAAAAGGCACAGGGATCACAGTGTCATCAGTGGTGGCCTTAGAGTTGTTGGGGCCCTGGGCAAGAGTCAGTTGGGGCCCCTTAGAGGCTTAATTTTGATGACTGATAAATAAGTCAGACATTTGTTGCAAAATTTTGGGGGCCCCTAAAGTGTGGGGCCCTAGGCAGTCACCCAGTTTGCCCTCCCCTAAGGCTGCTGCTGGTGCGACGCAACTACTACAGGCCATAAGAGGCCATATTTAATGTTGATCTTAGATGTGAGAGGTTGTCAGGTTGATTTTTTTAGATAATTTTTAATGAGTTTACTGCAAGGGCTGGTGAAAAGGCGTAGCATTTTAGCTAGGAAGTGGGTTTTGGCTTTTGTTCTTGTTTAAAATACAAAATACATTTCTTCTAAGAAATGGGCTTGGAAATGCAACCTTGTAACCTCTCCAATACACACACCACTCCTAGCTGTTATGTACTTCTTATAGGGTATTATCAGGATACAGAAGAAAAATAATAGGCCCCAAGAGGGTGAGCACACTTCTGTGCAGTTCTTCAAAGACTCACCTACTGGGTTGCAGGATCAGAGCTAATACAGGAAACACTCTGGGAAGCTGAGCTTTGCTGTGTGAACACTGACTTGCCAGCTATCTGCAGGCAGATAATATTGGTAGGTTTGGCCCAGCATTCTCCTGCTCCTTGTAGCATTTTGCTGTTACATTTCACATTCAGGAAAAAGCATGCCAACAAGACCTTTACTGGCATGGAACCACAGCACCATCACAATATCCTTTCCTGCTTAACAGCTGGTCTTTTCAAGTGCTTTAAAATCCACATGCTTAATCAGACTGCCTGGAAAATTGCTGTGTCTCATGAGACATCTGGCACAGAGCTATCCAAATCTGAGGTCATTTGAAGAAGAGGCTTTTGAGACACAGCCTCCATTAAAAGAAGGCATCAAAATGTTAGGGTTCTCCTGGGTTGTTTGCACACTCCTTGGGGTCAAATGATGATTGGCGTTAATCTCAGGTAGAGTATCCAATACCCACTCCCCCATTAGGTGAGCACTATTTAAAAAATTACTCAGAATAAAAGCTGGATCTGTAATGTGAAGGAGAACAGCTAACTAATCAAGGAGTTTGCGTGTTTCACAGCAGTGCAGTCTGGATAGTGCATCCCACCTTGGTGTTCATGAACCTTCTGGTATGGTGTGCAAGACCAGTGCATATTGATTGAGAAGCATCCTTTCTGATTGATATGTACTTTGTGGGGAGACACACTGAGCATATGTGCGTCACTGGTGATCCTAATGTAGATCAAGATCCCCATTTTCTCATAGCCAGCCATTGTTTTGGGGACATTTGCAATCTTTATTACATACGAATTAACCACATATCCAGCACCACAGCATCAACAGTCAGTTTGCCAAACACCAAACTGCCAGTCTGTGTCTGGGACAGCCAGGTTCCAGTAGCAACCCATATCTGTGTTGGTATGGACAGCTTCATCTGCATGCCCTGGTGCTAGATAGATGGTTGAGCTAACTCCTTATTTTGTTTGACAAAGAAAACCTGAAGCCACAGCTGGTCACCCCAAGGGACAGAAATGACACATAAACCAATATAAGTGATCGGAAACCAGTTCAAATCTGTAACACAACAGAAGTTCAGTGCACATAAACCACTTTCTAAATAGCTGAAACCTGTTTAAGATAAACTGGATGGATATAGTATCAGACTTAACTGATTTAGGTTAAATCAGTTTATTGAACTTCTGTCCCAGATGCCCTCCAGATTCAAGTTAACTCTCAACATCTCAGGATGTTTTGCACCTCCCCAACACACCCCCTCTTGCAGGGTGGGTGGGCTACCCTTGGCCCAAGCTATCTGCTCCAGCCAAGCAGGGAGGCGTGATCCCCCTGGCTTCTGGCCTAGGTCACTGCAGGCAAGTGGCTGCATTTCCAGAATCAAAAGTGAAGGTGTGTTCACTTGCTTGTCAGTTCAATCTATGCAGCTTAGACTAACCAAGGAAGCATGAGTGACTGGTGCCTCCTAAATCTGGAGGGCACCTGCAGAAACCACCGATGGCGGCGGCCCTGTCAGGGGGGGCACCAGCCCTACCGACAGCATCAGTGTTGGCTGTTGCGGGGGCACGTGCTCCCCCATGCACCCCCTACCAGTCGCCTATGCTGGGAAGTTTGAATCAGTTTAGCTCAGGCTTTTTGACTGTATGTACTTTTAAATCTGCCTGATGGTGCAGTCCCATCACTCTGTGCTTGTGCCCCTGCTCCTGAGCCGCCACTCAGGGGGAATCCGAAGCTTTTACAGCTTGTATCAAGCATCCAAACTCTGTCACGTTAGCAGGCAGTCTGCATGATCTTATCACCAATACCCACTGCTGCCTTCTGAGAGCCACCAGCCCACCGGCTGCAGAACTAGTGTTACTTTTGCAGCGACAATAACTGCAACAGGTATGAATGAATGCAGGACTGGAAAGGAGTCTCATGGGCTATCAAGTCCAAATCTCAGGTCATCATGCTGAACTGGATCCAGGCCTGGACAGCAGCTAGAGCAAAAGTGCAGAGCATGCAAAGCTGGACGTGCTTTAGTTTATTGTGTTGGGTAGGTCAGAAGATTACTGTGGGGGATGAGTTCTTGGCTCCTCACTATTCAATATCTTTTTATCAATGAACACTGTTTCAGTTCACAGAGCAAGGTAATTACCTCTAAAATCAAATGAGAAACACACTTCACTTTATCAAGGTTTAGATCCTATCAAAATGAGTTTCAAGCATGAATGAAATTGTATGGAAAACACTTCTTAGTTTTTGCATGTATTTGCTTTAAAAAATCCAACATTTTGCACTATTGCTGTAGTAAGGTCAGTCAATATACAAATACTTTTTGATATAAACCCAGGCCACATGTGACTAGAATTTATTGCACTGATCCCAGAGGAAGGCATTCAGAGATTAGTTCAATGAGGGACTTGGTCCCTTAAAACAAATGCTTAGATGGGGAAAAAAGCTTAAATTCAAAAATAGCTGCTCAGATGCTCCTACCTGCTGGCACTTCTGGTTTGAGCTTGATTTCTGCTTCTGTGCATACCCTGGACTGCCCTGATCTGAGCCGTTTAGCACTTGTCTCCTGCCTCAATTTAGTCGGCATCCAGAAATGAAACATTTCTGCACCTCAGATCTCTGAGGGACCTGATCAAGTGGGGAGGCTAGGGTTGCCAACCCTCCAGGATTGCCCTAGAGTCTCCAGAAATTTGATATGAATCTGCAGGAGACTGCTCAGTCACCCGGGAGAAAAACTGTAGGGCAGTCATTAAAATGAATATTAAATGAATACAAGTTATACAGTAGACCAGTGGGTTCTTACATTCTAATAGTAACACGCATTTGCCTTCCTGATGTAAAGTCTATGCACCATAACCCGTAACTGATATATGCAAGCGCGTGGGTACGTTGGCATTGTGTTTCGCGGGCTCATTGGCACTCCAGAAACCTCTCAGAATAGATTCGGACAGAGCTGGCAACCCTAGGGGAGGCTCTGAGACCACCTGACATGATCAGGCTTCTCAACAAATGTGGTGCAGGGGGAGGTGGGGGGGTTGCACTTGTTTTTAAAGCACTAATGGACACCTGAAGGCTCCAGTGCTGGCACAAGGACTGGGAGCCCAGGGGCCTGTCTCCTGTTTGGCCTGGTGGAACTCAGGCCCCACTTTCCACCAGTGTTGCCTGGTGTACAATGATTATCGTATTTGTACAATAACTTCAACCTTTTACAATGTACCTTCAATAACAGTAAACGCATTCAGAATGTACAGTCATTTTTAAGACAGCTAATTGATATAGCATATGTAAAACCCAAGCCACGCTCAGGGAATCTTAACCAAGTTTGGGGGGTTGGGTTTTTTTGCTGTTATTCTTTTTTTAAGGACATTTTGTTGTGTTCCAAGCCAAATCAGCCAAAACAGATTCCAAATCCGTGAGTCAATCCAGAACCATAAGTGGTCCTACTACTGGCAAACATCCTCCACCCCATCTGGGATTTCAGATGTTTCCAAAACCTTTGGCGGGTATCCTACTTGCAGGCCCAAGCCCCGAGGCTTGGGGTTCAGATGCCCCCGGGTTTTGTTTGTCCTCAGCCATAAGGCCCCAGGAGCAAGCTAGGGAGGAGTCTCCCCTTTCCATAAAGTGGGACCTTCCCACTCCAGCAGCTAAGTGGGAGAGTTACTATATGTTACCTTGGCAGGTACTATCCCTGTGCCAGGAGAGCAGTCTTCCCCGAGTGCAACTAGGAAGACTGTCTCCACGGTCATGGTCCTTCCCTTGCCAGATAAGCACAGCCTACACTTGATCTGAGCCTTCAAGAGGCTGAGAAGAAATTTGGGGT